GAACAGAGAATTGAGAGTATATTCGGAAGCGAGCAAACTTGAAAAAGAGGAGGGAGGGGGGGATTGACTGTAGCCGTTTTTAGATTTTCCGCTAAATAATGCTTTGATTTGATATGTGCATCTATAAAAATAAACCAACGGAATGAAAAATTCTGCTAGCAGCAATAAAACTCTTTTAAGGCGTAAACAAATCTCGGACAGACATCAAAATTAATTATCTCTGCGAAATATCGCCAAACGTTATTGCAAATGCGTGTAATTCTTCCCTACGTGATATACGCAATCGATTCAACAGCTGCCAGTATTGGGAGATAAGAAATAAATATGAGGAAACGGTGCGGATACAATACAGGGTTTTTCATTCTAATTTGAAAAGACTGCGTTTTTCTGAATGAATCATTCCTTTCAAAAAAAAAAAAAAAAAAAAAAAAAAAAAAGTCCGTTGCTTGTTTTGCAGCGAACTTGTAACAGTTTCAATATTGAGATTTTGTGGAGAGAAAGGGGAGAACCTCCCAATCTTCGCACTGTATAATGTATTGGCCAAAAAAAATTAAATTATTTTGACTATTCGATTACTTTCCCTTTATTTAAGCCATTCCGAGTATTATTAGAAAACTAATCTGTGTTAAAATACAAACCATTTTTGGAAGTTTACTATACTTCAGCAGTTACTGCAACTATGTTATTATAAACATTCATACATACTCATAATATAAGCATAATGATCATAATAAACACAAATATGAACTGACCAAGCGGAACGAGAATGCAAATTATTAAGATCTGGATAGAAATTCAAAACGTGTGTAGTATTTGGGTGAGGAGGAAAAGAATGCCGAATGTACCGAATTTTCTACTGCTTTCGCAATTCTTTGACCAATATAACGACGGGCACCTGTCTGTACTCTTTGTGCGCACCAAAGGTTATGTTAATGCAGAGAAAGGGGGAAAGGAAAAGCTATTTCGGGAGTATGATTCACCATCTGACATTCCATATTAGGAAGAAACATTGTTTATTTAGCTTCGGCTTTGGTACGGGGAAAAATTGCGCATTCATTTAAAAAAAAGCACTAAAAACAAAAAAAATAAGGGCTTTAAAGAAAAAGTAAGCACCTATAAGGGCCTTTATATTTTATTTTCAAATATAAGGACGTAAAAGCACTTATAAGGACCGCTACGAACCCTGTTTATAGCAGAATCGTATGGAATTGCGACACTGACTGTGTATGATATACGGAAAAATAAAGAAACGCTGTTGAAATTTTACGGCAACAGTGATTCTAACAACAGAAATCTTTACATGAGGCAAAATTGGTAAATCTCGATACTGTCTTGTAAGAGTGATTCCGGCAGCAACAGAGTGATGGGGTACCAATTTCAGGACTGCTCCTGAGAGAAAAGGGGAAGCAGATTCTTGAGGATTTAAAAATAGAGGAGCTATGTAATTATATAATATAATCAATTATCTATTTAATAATAATTTTAATGCCTATAATAAATTATGTAATAATGTAGATACTAATTAATTAAAATGTATTCTAATACACCGTATTTATTTTGCACGTTTAGTCCCAATATTATGATTTTTATCATTTTCTGTCCTGAAGTCTGCAAAATCCTAAAATCCCCCGCAAAACCTCTGGGTCCTAAGATTTCTGGACTTTCTACTGTATTAAGAACTCATTAATCGACCAGTTTAGTGTTCAAATACTTACACTGATAATTCTCTTGAAGTGTTTACGCAAAAGAGATGAATATTTTTTTTCATCTTTTTTACATTTCTAGAGTGATTTATATTAAAAAATTATTATAATATAACTAAAATTTTCTAGTCCTGAATACATATAACCAAACTGCCTTCTTTCATGTGAAATTTTGAATAAATTAAAACATAACTCTTGACAGTTATGTATAATTTACTACTGTGTGCTTTACTTCTGGAAGACTTCTGATCAGATTCCTGTTTTTATGAATTACCCCTCCCCCCATGTAACACAGGAAATACTATATTCATATATTTTAAAGTTATCCTGATACATTGATGCTATTTGTTTATTTAAAACCACGAAAAAGAAGAATAAAGGAAATGAAGATATATTTACAACATCTATAAAATAGCAACTTAATACTAATAAAATTACAAAATATTTTAAATAATGAATGATGAGTGAATAATTCTAAATATCAGAATTACAGGATATTTAACATTTACTTTCATATATGATATTTGAAATGCTAATCAAATCATGCTTTCAGGTACAAAATTAAAATGGCATTTTATTTTGAAGTGATGCAGCAAGCTCAAGAAGTATTTTGTAGAAATTTTTACTACAGTCAAATATCTATCTAACAAAGTCGCAGAATCCCACAAAAAACTTTGCTAAATGGAGGTTATGACAAAATATAATGTAAGATGAGAATTTTAAAAAATTTTAAATGTGAAATAGTAGAAAATGAAATAGAAATGCAAAATTACATAAGAAAATTACACATATTCATTTTGAAAAATAATTTATTAATTTGTTTTGATTGCTGGAAATAATATTTTATATCCTAGCAAGTCTCATTTTTTAAATGTATGGAAAATGTCTTCTGGCACATTTTCTTCAAACTGAAAATTGCACCATAAAGTATCAGACATATTTAGCAAATCTTCTGGAAAAAATTTTGTACGTCTATTTCCATTAACTTTTTCATCATCATCAAAAATCGTTTTCTGGCTGCTATTTTTATGCTCTCCAATGTCATCTTCAGTAGGAATTCCAGAGGTCTCAGCATCATTATCTAGACATAAATAATCTAGTAACTGTTCAATATTCCTTAACTGTCTTCTTGATTATAACAGTAGATACATATTTTTCAGCTCCTCATCTAGCCTATTGTCGTCATCGGCACTACTATTATCATTACTAGTTTCAATCTGTTTGACAAAATCAGCTTTTCTGAAGGAATTGCAAACAGTTTCTTTAGTGACATTATTATTCCATATTTTTGCAAGATTTGATATGCAGTCACATGAACTTATTACATATAAAGGCCATTTACTTTTAGTTTCCATGAAGGCTATCTTCAAAATTCATTGATGATAATGCATTCTTAATACTTTTTATAAGCCCTTGCACTTCTGCAGTGGCATTTAGAGGAAAGAAAAAAAACCCCTAACATTTTTTATACTTGGCTTTGATATTTTAAGAGCACTGCAACTGTCTATTATTAGAACAACTTTTTGTTTCTGTATAGCCAAGCATTTATCTAAATGCTTTATAGCCACTTTTTTAAAATGTCCAAGGTCATCCATGAGTTCTTGTTGAAATCATAATATACTCTAGTGATTTAAAACCTCTGAAAGATTTTGGATTTTTACTCTTTCCTGTAAGTAAAGGATGAAATTTTTCATTTCCTTCCATATTTGCACATAGAGTACAGTTATTTTGCTTTCAAAGCATTTCTCTTTTTTGAATGTTAATGTTCCCAAAGGAAAACATTGATAAAATAAGCTGATTATGCCACCTATGAAGACATATTTTTGGCTTGTACATTTTCATGATTTCTTTTAGGTTTCGATATGACACAGTTGTTTTCATTAACATTTTTGTTTTCGCCATATAAAATTTTTGGAACTACTGCTTTTTTTTTTTTTTTTAAATTTTCTCCAGCCACCTGTTGCTTGCATGAAATTCACACCATCTTAAATTGGCAGTGGAAAATTTGAATAGCAATGGCTCTGCTACCATATATTTTTTTCTCTCACTGTGTGCAACCCTTTTAATATTGCTTTATTAGTGTCTTGATAAATGCATCTGGATGAGTGGAATCACAGCTTAGCAAAATTTGGTTCTGATTTTTCAGGATAGCCTATAAACTATTTTACAAAATACCAAATTTTATGGCAATGCCTTTTTCCTTACATCTTCATTTCATTGAGAACCAGCATTTTTTCTTTAAATGTTACACATTTTTGTTTCAACACTTTTATCATTCCACACCAATCTAACTCTAAAAAGGATTTGCAGCATAAAACCACAAAAAGCAGAAATAAAAATATTGTGCTGCTGTTGCTTAATCTTAATCTGGTCTGCAAAACAAGATTGGGTGGAGAATTTTTTTACAATGAATATGTAAATACTTTCTTTTTCTTATAAATCATCCTTTTAAAAGCTTGTTAAATAGAGAGTGTACTTCACAATTTGCAGTTTTTTTATAAAAGAAAATTCATACCTTAAACAGAAATTCATGAAAAGTTGTGCTAAATAAAGTAATTTGTAAAACAATGATTTGGTGGTAATACAAAAAGATACCATAACTAGAAGTGATGCAATTTCAAGAGCAATTATTTATTTATCAACTGTTTTATGTCATTTATCACACAATTAAATTATGAATTCTATACTATTGGCGAAAATTTTAATCTCAAAAGCCTACATTCCTAACCCCCTCCCAAGGTCAAGGATATTCATGATAATCAAGAAAACTAAAGAATAGGTGACAAATTTAACTGTTTAATAGTTACAGTCACGAAAGCATACAATTTCTGAGCTTTGAAATGAGAAACGAATAAAATTGCATGCAACATGTATTCACTGTATTTATTTGTATTCATATTATCACTGTATTTATTTGACCCTGAAGTCGAGAAATATTTAAAATTTTCATAGCTAATCATACTAAAAATAATATACAAATTAAAAAAAAATTCTTTGGCTTTACAAAATAAATTTAAGATCTTGTTACAAAAAGTACAGACATCAAAGATCATTACAAATATAGAATATTCATATATTTCTTGAAACATCTGAAATTTCAGCCTCATAAAATAAAAGTAGTTTGGGGAAGAAGGGTATTCAAGACTTACTGTTAGACACAATAAAAATAATCTTAGAGAAAATCTCTTGAAAGAATAATTCCGATCTACCTAAAGCTTTTAAAGTCATATACCTATCACACATTTTTGGAAAATTTTAAATACGCTAATTATTTCATATTAACTAGTTTAAACTTACTGTTATACATGTCAGCTGAAACATCACATACAGCAGCATTTGAAGTTGGAACGTCATCTTCAGAATCAGAATCGTCCAAATGATTCAAATCATATTTGATATGCAGAAACTAAAAAAACATGGTATATTTTCATATTAGAACAGTTTTATTTTTATTAATGAAAATAAATCGTTCTCTAGTTACTTAAAAGAAAGATAATATACAAAATCCTCCTAGAAAATAATGCTTCAAGTTTCACACTGTAGACAAGAAAGTTTTGTTTACATAACTGTATGAACACTCTTGCATATATGCAGTGATCATTCCAGTGAGTTAAAAAGTTTAAACAATTATTTTAATACTTGTAAATATTTATTCTTACAATGTAAAATTAAAAAATTTCATGGAATTCAATTTTTATAAAATAATTCTATTTATCTTGTATTAAATTATAGTACAGTACATTTAAACATATTTTAGAAAATGTAATAATATTTAGACATTTACAGTACACACAGACTTAGATAAGATTGATATTTTCTGCTAAGCATTCATAACATGCATACAAGTGGCTTTGGGTTCCAGCTTAAAGCATTAACGACTGATGATGCATTTTCACAATATTTAGTAAAAACACTTTTTTCATCTTCTGTATAAGCAATTTTTTCTTTAGCTTCTTTTAAATACTGTAGATAAAATTAATTGTTTCTGGAGAAAAAATATATGTTTTTCTACATTAAAATTTTTTATAAAAATAAATGATTGTTCTGATACTTTATTTTGAAAGTTTTTTCTCTTCATTTTGAGTAGATTGCATGCAAAGCACAACAAATTAAATTACTTTATGAAGACATGCAAGTCTTCTAGAAATATTAGACTGCATAATGGCATCAAAAGATTAGGCTGCTTTATTTTTTTGGTATAAATATGCATTTTTTAAAATCTCATGAAAACTTAATGTCAGTTGAAAGCAGTGTTTTTGGGAGTAAATAGATTTTAGTAAATAGTGGTATTTTCTTTTACAAATTCTATAAAACAACTGCCCCAAAATATCAAATATCCAAGACAATGGTTTTTAACATTGAAGGAAGCATTATAATTTATGAAGGATTGGATAAAACTGGTTACAGCTCATCTCTGTTTAAATATCTTAAATGCCAATTTCATGCCATATAAAGTTTTGTTTCAACACATCTTTCTATAGATGAGCATATGATACCTTACCTTATTTTGGTAGACATTCATGAAAAATGTTTCTCAAAGGAAAACCTGTTCATTTCGGGAATAAAGCTTGGTGCTTTGTATTCCTATGAAAAGTGCTTATATCATATTCAGAAAAATCTTCAAAGACATTGACTGATCTTGGACTAGGTGGAGATGTCGTAACAGATCTTTTAAGTGTAGTGGAAGTTTCCTCAAATCACTATGTATATTCCAAGAGGTACTCAAGAAAAGAAAACAAATCTGTATCCATAAAGTAACCTAAATTCATCAGAAATTACAACAAATGTATGGACAGCATGGACCTCCTGGACAATCTTATTGCGATGTATATAGAGTGCAAGTAAAAAGTAGGTGGCCTGTTTTTATGAATTTTATTTATGTAGCTAAATCAAATGCATGGAACCTTTATAAAATTGTTGTATAACACAAAATTTCTCTGTTATATTTTCAAAGAAGTGTTATGATAGGATTGCTGAAAACAAAGAAAGAATATTCTGAAAATTCATAGCCTTCATCTTTGTATACTGTTTGTGTTGGCCTACCATCTTTCAGAATTCAGCCTCAAGCAGAAAGGATCCCACACATCACATTAACAAATAAAAGATGCAAATACTGTGGTAGTCAAATGATAACTGTTTTGACTATCTGATAAATGTTTGTTATGTGCCTTTGTATAGCTTACATTAAAAAAATTTCCATGTACACCAAAAGTAATCAGTTTTGACTGATGTATTTTTGCAACATCTTGTATCTTCAACAATGTAAGCAAGTTTTTTGTTACATTTTTTTATTTTCTTAATAGACCAAAAAATCTACTTTGTTCATGTCCTTCAAGTGGCAGATAGTGTAGTTGTTAATGGGTTAACAGAAGAAAGTTGATATAAATCTACATGCTAGAAGCATGAAACATTACAATAAACTGAAATGGACTTTTTAGGGAGAAATATTTACTCTTTAAAGCATATGATACATAAACTAAAAACTGAAATCTAATAGTACTGCATTTGATATTGCAATTATTACACACTAGATGGTAAATTTGCAATTACGAAAGCTCCCATTTACTGACATTACGATTCACTAATTGACAGCACTTCTTATTACAAAAGAATACAATTTACATATTTGTTATTCAGGTACTTAAAAAAGGAAAAAAAAAATTCTCCAAAATACTTTTCTTTTAAATGAAAAAATGGCTACTGCATGAAACTACTGCATTTTGCATTCTTATTTCTATGAGATACTTAAAAAAATACAAATGGCTTCAATTTCTGGAGGCTTATCCACGGAGCACAACTCTAAAAATATACATATAATTTTAGTTAAATCTTGGTCATTATTTTTATGAAGGTTACATGGATTTAAAAAAAAAAAAAAGAAGGGCTGTGTTTTACATACATTATATCTTACAAAAATTATATGAAGCCAAATGTACTGATAAAAACTACCATCATCCTAGCATCATTCATTACTTTTACAAATATGAATTCTGAAAAACCAAAGAAAATTATGATTTAGACGAATATCTGCTGAATTTTTTCTCGGTCTATTTTACAGTTTTTCTTTTCCTTCGAACAAGAAAAAAACAAAAGAATGAAAAAAATTGTTTTTAACATAAATCCAAATATTTTACATAATTTCAATTAATTTAATGATTACTATAAATATCACATGAGACTAAAAATTTTTAATGCTGTTTAATACATGAGTGAAAATTATGTAGTGAAATGAGAGCAAAATAAACAATATAAATATATTTTTTTCTCAAAATAGTTACGAACATTTTTAATTTGAGATCTTCAGAATGAGTATAATAGTCCTGTTAACTGAACGCAAAATTTACATGATTCATTTTACATAACTTAACAAACTTATGGCTTTTACCACTGTGTACTCAGCATGCGCATACAGAAATATTTCTGTTTTTCCTACAAAAATTGATTTATTAATTTATTAGAAGGGTGCTCTAAATAAAAATTTAAACAATATGGAAATGAATTTATTTCAGATGCTAATTTAGAGGCTTTCTGAATATATATAATTGTGAAGGGAAAAAAAAGCATTGCACATAATTTTGTTAATTAACAAATGACAAAGTAGGAAACATAGGTTCTTTCTTTTGGCAATGTGGTTGGACTTTTGCGAGTCAGCAAATTCTTCGAAACTGAATGGATTAATGTTGCTATATGGAATTTGATTATCACATTATTATTTGAAAAAGGCAAGTGAAAATTTTATATTTTCAGTGTTTAATATTCATGCTTTCTTCAAGTATGTAAAATTTTATGAATGGTGTCAGTCTAATCAATTCCACATTCCAATGTAATGTTTAGCTCTTTTTTCCTTCATTCTTTGCGTATGCACCAACTGATTCATCATGGCATAAAATACTAAATTAATAAATTGAAAGGCTTTTGGTTTTGTATTTATATAGTATGCTTCTAATTTTTTATAGTTATATTGCTTTTTACTCAAATCAGGGATCGTACACATTTCCGCACACGAAAATTAAGGACATTTAAGGACCATTAATGAAAAAAATTAAGGACCTATAAGCAAATGGGAACCGAATAAATTCAATTAAAAATAAGCTATGTAAGTTAACTTTTGTAATACCATCCTAAAAATAAAATAGATCCATCAGTAGGATGCGTTATTATTATACATAATTATAAATAAAGTTTGAGAATAAAATCAACTTTATGAAATTTATCAAGTAGCATTAAATATTTTACACTCATAATAATTGGACATATTTGAATGAAGATAAGTGACATTTTATTTGGGTTTTACTAACAGTTAGCTTTATGTTGACTTTTTTTCTTTTGTCTCATTTTGTCACATACTTGCTCAGTCTACAGGTTAAGTGAACAGTAAGTAGATTTTATGTCAAGCTGCATAGGTTAAAATGAGAAGTAAAATCACAATCAGCATGATTCAAAACAAAAGACTGGATGTTGTCGCCACTCCTACTCTCCTAGAGAGAGATCAGAACAAACCCGGAAGGTCTGATATAAGCACGGTTTGCAAGTTTTAAAAGTTAGCTGGGCTTTGTCTGACGCAGTTACTGTCATAGCTTCTTGTAGAGTTCCAGGGTTGTAACTCAGTTAACATACTTTAAGGTCCTAATTATCCACTAAAGTACCAGAGATGATAAGTTGTTTTGCATTATTTTAAAGTCTCACTAGATGCGAACAATAGGTTTTACATGAATTTTTACATTTTTGTGTTTTATCTTAGTGACCACGATAAGGGTTAATAAAAGTCAATAAATCGCTTTAAAATGCAGAGATAATTTTTAACGGTAACCAGTTAGTTATAAGTAATTAAATTAGATACAGTCAAAAGTCGTTAATCCGGACTCGTCGGGACTTCGGCGATTCCGGTTTATCGATTTTTCCGGATTATAGATCATCAGTTTAAATCTGGTAAGATGGCATGCAGAAATTATAAAATTAAAAATATGAAATCGTAATTTATGAAATAAAGAACAATTATGATCTAAAGGGTATCAAAATTTATAAAAAAAAAGCTTAATATTTATTTGTTTACTTTATTAAACATTTCTTTCAATGTAAGTTGTTTAAGTTGCTTCATTTTATGTGATAATACTTTCTCATTAATTCTATAAACAGATCTATAAACATCTATAAACAGATATAATTTCTTGTTCAGTTACTAAGTTCCGCTGTTCAAGTCCCGTTAATTGCTGTGCCGAGAATACCGACTAACTTGTCAATCGAATTTTTTTCGTTTTCACTAACCTCTCTGTCACATTCTTCATGTCTTTATCCATTTTTTGCAGCAATTCCACTTTTTGTTTGTTGGACATCGAAACATACTTTCATTTTGTAGATCCTTTGGAAGTTCCAGCATCGGAAATTCTATTTGACATAATCGAAAGT